CTTGATGGAGGACAAGTCACCACCAACAGAGGCTTTCTGTCCTCTTGGAGCATGTGGCTTTGGAATGTGCCCCAAGGGAGCAGAGAGCAAGGGCAGGGACATGCACCCAGCCAGTCAGAATGGAGGCCTCTACCTGCAGTGACTTGTCAACAGATGTCCCTGCCTGTCAGACCCTCCGGTCTTCATTTTATACCCTGCTGGCAATCAATAGTTAGGACCCAACCACTGAATGGCTTCTCTGTTTAGTGAACGTGATTGCTTCTGTGATAAAGAATGTCACTAATTCTGAAACAGAAATTTATATAAATGCTGGCATTTACATATGCCCACCCTTCTCCTGAATCTTACTTGACCTATATAAGATATTTAAAGGATCTCTGGTTCTTTGGCCCTCAAATACGTGCCTTAGAATTTCAATGGGAAAATGCCTTGAGAGATTCAGCCTTGGTTTCCAGGATTAGAAGTGCCATTGCTGGATTTTAAAGAACTTGCCATTCTTTCACAGGGTGGAAGGTAGCCCTCAGTGTCCTCCTCATTCTTTTATCTCTAAAGCTATATATAGTAATCCCCCTTATCCAAAGCCTCACTTTTCAAGGTTTTAGTTACTTGATCAACTGTTATCCAAAAATATTAAATGAAAAATTCCAGAAATAAATCATTCATTCATTTCAAATTGTGTGCTGTTCTGAGTGCCACCACCCTGCTCTGTCTTGCCTGGGCATGTGTCGTCCCTTTGTCTAGTGTGTCCATGTTGCATATGCTTCCCACCCTTGGCCACTTAGCATCCGTCTTGGTTATGAGGCCGGCCACTGTGGTATTGCAGTGCTTGTGCTCAAGGAGCCTGGATTTTATTCCCACCCCAGAGGGCATGAGCAGAGAGGCAAATGGGCGCCAGGGCACGGATCATGGAAGGACAGATGGCCTCTGATGCGGTGGCAACGCTGCAGTGCATGTAGGAGAAATCCTGGTACCTTCAGGGTCCAGTGCTGTCTGTTGCTTCAGGCACCCACTTGGGGCTGTGCCCAGTGATAAGGGGGCGCTGCTGTATGGGGTTTAAGAGGGTTTTATTGCAACTTGTCATGCAGAAATGAGAAGGAAATGGCTTCTTTCTTTGTTCCATCTTTCTGGTTTTTTCACTTAGACTAAGAGTTTACAAGGTGATTTCATTTCATTTTCTATCCCTAAATGGCAAGAAGCTCTGTGGAGTGTTAAGTGTGGAAAGGATTTTGTGATCGCATTTGGGGATAATGAAAGGATGCTGTGGTTGATTAGTGCTGTCTGCCACGAGCATGGATATGGAGGCAGCTGTCCCACGCCTGACTCAGATCTTGCTGTGAACAGAAAGTTCACACACAGATGATGATACCAGCCTCAAGGTTATGTGCCATATGCTGTGTGTTGGGCTTTACATTTTAAAATCATTTCATTCACAAAACCACCCACAAGGAAGGTACAAGTGGGAAAAATACAATGAAGAAATGCTCACAATAGAAAACAGAGGCACAGAAAGTTACGTGACTAAGACAAGGTCACATAGCCAGGGCTGGGAGAGGTTCAAAGTCAGGCAATCTTGTCCCAGAACCCAGGCTGTCACTGGCTTGCTAATGCCAAGCCAGCTGCCACTGGGCTGACGCAAGACGCAGCTGTGCTTCAGAAGAAAGTGCAAACTCCAGTTTACAGGGCCTGGGCCCCGGAGGTGAACCTCCTCAGTGAGGAGGGGCGGCGACAAACCTCCTTCCCCAGTGTGAGCATTTCCCTGCTCCCACCTCCACGTCCACTCCTCAGCAGAGTGGGTGGATGGAAAAGGAGCAGCTGGGGCCTTAAGGGAGGGACAGGGGACTCCCTGGTCTCCACCTGGCTGTGAGGCTAGGACATTGCGTCTAGTCACATGCCACAGACTAACTTTCGAGTGACGACAGACTGCATATACAGTGGTTGCCCATAAAATGAGGCCACGAGTGCCATCATTGCTGTCTTGTTTGTGTAAGTGCACTCTGCGATGTTCGATGTTCGCCCAGTGATGGAAACCGCTTACCAACCCGTCTCTTGGAAGGTACCCTGTCAGCAAGCGACATGTCAAATAAATCTTTCATAATGGCAGAATAGAGACTTATAGATACCAGTGGCCTCATTTACTAACAAATCCTTACCGCACACCTGCTCCCTGTGGGTCCCGGCTGGGATCCTGGGTCCTGGAATGAGCCACAGGAAGAACCAGGCGCTCCCTGAGCTTAGGGTCCACTCATTGGTATGGCCTTTGTCCAAATAGTGACGTGAGTGTAAAGTGCAGCCCTGGCAAGCAGGCAGAGGAGAAGCTTGTACCAAGGTTTCACGGGGGCACTAGGAGAAGGATGAGGGGCCAAGGTGATAGTCTGTGCAGGTCCTGGAAGCCATGCTAAAGAGTTGTAGCCTAAGAGTAGTGGGAAGTGGAAGGTGGGGAGGGCATTGGGTGGGGTTTGTGCCATAATTAGGTTTGTTCCATGTTGCAGGGCAGTTGTGGCTGCTTTGAGAAGAGTGATTGGAAAGAGGGATCTGGAAAGGTTAGGAGGCAATTGTCGAGGTCCAGATAAGGAGGTCATGATGGCAGGACAGGAGTGGCTTGGGTGGTGACAGGTAGAGGAAAGGGACTCTAAAGAGGTAGAGGAGATGAAATCAGCTAGGATTGGGTGGCTCGGATGTGGGCACTGAGGAGAAAGAAGGGCACCGCTGACAAGGAATAAGAGATGGCGGGTCTGTCCCCAATGCAGGGGTGTGGAGGGGACTCAGCTCTGCATGGCGGGCAGTCCTCTGTGCTGTCCAGGTGGCCCATGGAGGTGTCAGAGGGGCTGCACTTTTTTATGAACACATGCAGTGTTTCACTCGGGCCATAGAAGAGCCTCGCTGTCCTGGGAACCAACTCCTAAGGGAAAATGTAGAAGTCTATAGCTTTGTTGATTTTTGAAATTTAAACATGTTTTTTCCCTAGACATTAAGTAAATAACCTACCAGTGACAAAGGAAATGAATAAAAATAAAAATAAATACCTAGCACAATCTTCTTGTTTTCGTTTTGCATGTTTTTCTGCCCATCTTTTCTGATGTCATTCATATTTCATTTAGTTGTCATTATAATCTACATGAAAGGCACAATAGAATTATTTTCCCTTATCAATATCCAAATGTTTTCCTTCATCTCTACAGAGCTTTCAGGGTCATATTCAAACTATGTTGTGTAGTATTCCATTCGTTTGAAAAATCATGAATGGCAATTTTTAAGCAGTTAGTTGATTTTAAGATTTCATTGTAACAAGTTAAACTTCAAATGCATATTGTTGCAAGTGGCACCTGTTTTTCCTCCTGCATTTTTCCTTAGGTTCAAAGTTCTTTCACGTGGGCATGGTGGGTTAGGGGGTTGAATGGATCCCTGAGTCCTGAGTGGGTAAAGATACCCTTTCAGAACCACTGGTGGGTGCCGTGGGGGGTCTAACCAGAGGGCAGAACTTGGACCTCTGCACCGTAGCTCCTCGTGTTCCTTGGAGTTCAGTGACAGTGGTCCTAACCGCATTAGTGAGTGCTTGACAAGTCACCTGGGACCTTCCACCGGGACTCTGCAGTGTGCACAGCCGAGGACCTCAGGCAGGCTGCGCAGCCCAGGGCTTGCACTCTGAACCTGCGCTGCGCTTTCCTTTTCCCGGGGCTTCATGCTCTTAGGATCACACCACAGTTACTCACAAGGAAGCTGTGGAAGTGCCTGAAGAACTGGTGGAGTCCTGAGGGGCGTGTGAACTGAGCCTGCGGGGTCTAAAGCACTTGTGCAGAGCTGAAGAGGGTCCCCCATGTTTGGATGGGGATCGAGGCCTCCCATAGGCTGATCCAGCCCTGGTCCGTCCTTGGTCACCCTTGCTTCCCAGCGTAACCCTGAACCATAGCCGGGCTATCCTGTTCCCTGGCTCAGGAGGTCCTCTGGTCCTTGCTCACATCCTGGCCCACCCCCCTGCCCAGCCCTCTGTCTCCTACCTGAGTAGCTTTCCTCTTGTCTCCTGCACCCATTCCCCAGTCTGCTCCCCTCCCCATGAGCTCCTCCCACTCCACACCCCAGGACTGTGCTGAATCATAAGCTTCCTGTCACGTTTGTTTTTGAAATGTTTGCCTCTAAGGTAGCTATTGTCCTCAAGGGCAGCAGCCGTGTCATACTTCCCAGGAGCCTCACTTTAGTGCTGAGTCCTTCTCCATTGCTCAGCAAGCCTAAGGTGACCCCTTAAACTGCAATGCATGTGTGGAAGCAGTGTGGCTGTTCCTCTCCTGTATTTCCTACCTAAATGCTTGTATTCAAAAAGAGCTGAGGCTACTATTAAAATCCTCCTAGATGGAGGTACTCCAGTATTCTCTGTTTGGAGTCGTGAGAACAAGTTAATGCTGGAAACCTCTAACCTGATTTCTTTTTATTTCTGAGTCAGTCCTTGCTATGCACCAGTGCAAGAAGGATGGTTGGTGGTGGGCACCAGGGGGATGAAGGGACAGTGGGAGGCATGGAAATATCCACGTGGTCCTTAGAAGACTGGTAATGCCTTTGGCCCCCTGGAACAGAGTTTGATTTGTAGTGAGATGACATGACTGCTATTATGTTTCCTGAAAATTTGGGCCCAGTGTTACCTCGCTCATTTTACCTCTCACTTAAATGTAGATCGTGACAACCTTGTGATTGTTGAGAGTTGTCAGGGGAAACCAAGCACCCTGGGGACCTGCTGGCCAGGGGTCAGGCACTTTCAGGCTGTCTGGCCCTGCAGGAGCTTGGGCCTTGGCATGCTTATTTGCAAAATGTCTTCCCTAGACTACAGGATGTCTAGGTTCTGCTGTGACTAAGATTAAAAACAAAATAACCAAAACTCTCTGGGGAGGGTAAGCTTTGGTGTGCTTCTAACTCAAAATGAGAAATAGGCTCATTGACACATTTAATGACATGTGTTAGTAAGTGTGTAGAACTTTACACTTAAACTTGCATTTTTTTCTTTCTTTCTCTAGCCAAACATCATGTCAATGGCAACAGGACAGTTGAACCTTTCCCAGAGGGAACACAGATGGCTGTGTTTGGTAAGATATCAACTCTGAAAGAAAACCCAAATTGTGTGCAAACCTACTGCCAACTTTCTTAGTTTTAGCAAGTGTCCTCGGGGCTTCAAAATCTGGGCTCTTCTAGATGTTTACAAGTCCTTACAGCCAAGAAAACTCTCAAGTTCTTAGTAATTTCTGGGATTGGGAATGCTTATTCTATAGAATCTAGCATGCTTTCTTTTCTCACTTTAACAACCCAAATATCAAACTGTGTATCTGCTATTTCTTTCGTCCACACTGTGAATTAACCTGCTAATTTAGTGTTTGAGATTTTCTTTGTGAGGAAGGGTTTTTCCTCCCCACACAGGCTGGGATTCAAGTAATTTTAAGTTGTTATTCCACAAAAATCAATCTAATTGGATGAACTCTTTCTTTTCCATCTACTGAGAACATTTTTTGCGGGGCAGGGTACTGGGAATTGAACTCAGGGGCACTTGACCACTGAGCCACATCTCTAGCCCTATTTTTTATTTTATTTAGAGACAGGGTCTCACTGAGTTGCTTAGCACCTCATTGTTGCTGAGGCTGGCTTTGAACTCGAGCGATCCTCGTGCCTCAGCCTCCTGAGCCGCTGGGATTACAGGCGGGCACCACCGAGCCCGATAAGAACATTCTTTAGAAGAAAACATTAACGTAAAATGGTTTAAGCAGAACAAAGTCCAATCCCTGACTGCATACCCACAATGTCCACTTATGGGCTGAGCAGAACTTTCCAGTTAGACTCTACACCTTTTGGCAAGCTCCCTCTAGACCCCGTTTCCTTGTCTCCAGCATCTCCGGGGTTTCCTCTGAAATGCCTCCGTTCCTGAGCTTTCTGTCCTGCTTCCCTTCCTCTCTCCCTCCCTTTCTTCCTCTTCCTTCCCTTGTTCACACTGGCTTCCTTTTGTCCTTCTGGACTCCACTTCTCTTCTTTCCAACAGTGCCTTGGGGCCCCTTGGGGAAGGCACCTCTGTCCCCTGGAATTCAGCTGGACATCCAGAGTCTCCCTGGCTTGTCTCCCTCAGCCTTCAGACAGGTTCTGTGACCTCTCCTGTCCTAAAATCTTGAAGTCCTCTGACTTCATGCCTCTCCTAACTTCTGTCCCACTCTAATCTTGGGTGTCCTACACAACTGTACTGAAGTGGGTTTGACCTGGAGGGAGATGGGCCTCAAAACAGCCAGTCCCTAAATGAGCACATTGAGAATCCCCGAGATGGAATCCCTATTCCCTGAGACGGAATCAAACCTGGCGACCAGTGAGGATTAACTGTGGGAGAGCCGTGAAGCAAGGCCTAGTGCCACCTGTCAGCAAATCCTGCCTGGATGGGCAATCACCCTTTAAAATGTGCTGAGCAGTGATTAAAAATCAGTACATGCAGAACTTAAATGGACAATCTGATTTTGTAGAAGGCATAATGGACACTGTAACGTGTGTGGAAATTTCTGATCTTCCCACTTTCGTATCCTGTCAGTGTCTGTTACCATGGGACACAAATGTCCCATGTGTCAATGTTCAAAGTGTTCTTTTGATGATTTTTTTTTTTTTAGCCTTTCAGATTTGCCATCCCCAAACATGTTAGAAATGAGGTTCCGTAACTTTTTGTGAAATGTGAAGTGACATTGACCTATCTTATGAGCTTCTATTATTGGTGCAAACTCCCTCCTGGAGGACAGGCTGATGACATGATGTAACTGTAACTATCAGGGAATGAAGATTTCCCTTGCTTTTTGCTGTCCGATTTGGTTTGTAGAGACTTACTAAAAATCCTAGCCCACAGCCTTCATGGTTTGACTTTGGGCAGCAAGTTACTCCAAGCCCTCAGTTTTCCTAGTGGAAAGGCTGCTGGCTGCACACTGAGCCTTTCTGGCTCTGAGCCCTTTGCTCTGCCTCCTCCCTCCAGGATCAGAGGCTCACCTGGTGGATCAGCCCTGGGGAGCTCACTGTGAATGGCCAATGTGTGTGGTTTGAGAAGAGCCGAATCACGCACAGAATTGCTACAAGTTAACAGTATGTAAAGGGCAGGATTATGTAGATCATAAGATAGAATACGTTTGACATCTAAGAATTCCTTCTTTAGAATTGCAGTTTGGCTCTTGCAGATGCTTAAATTAAGGTCCCTATTTTGGCTAAGTATATGCAAGCATTTCATGTTCGCATTTCCAGAATCGTTCTCTTTTTATGTGTCCCTGTCCACCTGGCCTACAGTGGTGAGGGAGTGGATGGCTTTTGAGGAGGATTTCTGTCCTTCTGGGTTGTTTATAGCTGTACCATAAAGTTCAAATGAACACAGCATTTGACTCTTTGAGATACACTTGGTGTTTCATCCTGCCAGCACCTTGCAAGGCTGCAGGGCTTATGTAGCCTCTTCTAGAAAGTTCACTGGGAGGGCTTAGCAGATTCAGCAGTGCCTTTCAGCCCATACACAGAAGCACGATTCCCTGCCAAGGCAATTTAGCAGATTGATTTGTAAACCCCCATGCATTCCCAGAGTGCTCTGAAGGACTCTTGAGATGCAGCTTTTGCCGGGAAAACACTGTCTGGAGTGACGTCTCCTATGATGATTACGATTTCTCCCCATTTGATTTGAGTAGCAAGTATTAATAATGCACAGGCCTGTGTCTTACATCTCCCCGCCTGTGAGCTGACCAGAGCACCATGGTTCTTCATGCTCATCCACACTCATTCTTCGGCCTTGGCGGTCTCCACAGTTTTAATGCCAAAGTGCTCTCACCAAGAATGATTTCATTACCTAGTGGTAGATCATTTGAATGCACCTTATGAACGTTGTCTAAATAGGAGCTTTTAAGTTTGGTCCACTCTGCAGGTGACCACTGAGCTACCGTTAGGCTTTTAGATCAGAGGAGAATGTAAAGAGGACAGACAGCATGAGGGATCCGGGCACATTCCAGTGTAAAAGTACATGAGTGTGCTATTATATCAAGTAATCCGAGAACATATAGATGGTTCCTTAAAAACCGCTCCTGGCGTATGGTTTTCACAGGTTATTTTTAACTCAAGACGTTCAGCTTTTCAGGCCTTCTTTTGTAGTCGTTGGGGAGATCTTTTTCTGGGTCTTGTTTTCCTGCCACCGGAGCTCTTGGCCTCCTTTGTTGCTCTTTCCCTCAGTGCACTTTCTGACAATGCTAATGACGCCCATGGCCAGGCCCTGTCCTCCTGTGGGCTCCCCTGTCTTCCTGGGGGGCTCCCTTTCAAGTCAGCCGGAGCCTTTCCCTGCACACTGCAAAAGCGGAACTGAACATTTTGCTGTTGCTCAGTGTCTTTGTTGCTGGTGGCTGAGAGTGCCCTGTGGCCATCATCCCTTTTCTTCCATTTGTCAGCCCTACAAAGTGGACATTACTGTGCTCCTCTGTGGTACAGAAACTGAGGCACCAGGGATTAAAGAAGCATGGTCAAGTACAGAGAATGGCTCCCTGGGGAGGACATCTTTCCTCTACACGCTGTGCCTATCTTGGGAAGGGTCTCCGCGGCTTTCAATGTCTTAATGAAAGTGACAGTTCTTGGCGGTGGGCCACTCCGTCCACGCAGAGCCAGGCTGTGGCCACTCTGTGGAGGTGCTTCTCCAGCACAGAGCGGCTACTAATTTATTAAAAATATTCCATAGTCAAGATCGGTCATTTCAAACGAAGGTAAATCTCACTAATTGAGAAGATGGGAAGTGAAGGGCAAAGGGATTCCAATCTTAAATTGTGGAGTTTTCAGCACAATTAAAGAAAATATGATAAAATATTTTAAACTTTGAAGTATAACCCTTGAACATAATTTTTTCTTCTAAATTAGGATACTTTTGAGAGTGAAAGGGTGCTATTAAAATTATGTTGTGCCAAACATGGTGGTGCACACCTGTAATCCCAGGGGCTCTGGAGGCTGAGGCAGGAAGATTTCGAGTTCAAAGCTAGCCTCAGCAACTTAGTGAGGCCCTAAGCAACTTAGTGAGACCCTGTCTCAAAATAAAGCATAAAAAAGGTTGGGAATGTGGCTCAGTGGTTGAATGCCCCTGGATTCAATCCCTGGTACAAAATAAAAAAAACAAAAACAACATTATGTTGAAATAATGAGGTATAAACCTGGTGGGCTTCAGGCGATTGGTATACAATGCAACTGCAGGTTGTACGATATTTCACAAAGAAAAATAAATACAACTGAGCAAAGTGGAATGAGAAAAACGAAGCACTAAGATACATAAAATGAATTAAATGAATGAAAAAGTTGGAATGCAGTAGACTTTGATTGTATGTAATGTAGCATCAACACTCATAGCTAGGCTAACTTTGAAGATTTTATTCAGTAAATATTGCTATACTCTCTCTGAATGATTTCAGATTAAAAGTTAATTCATATCTATAAAGAAGGCTGATTCATGGCCCTTCAATAAGAGTAGAGAATGTATCTGACTGTACATTTGAAATTTTAATATTGTACTAAGACTGGCCAATGATATGGAATAATGAATTTCTCATCAATCCAAGTGTTTAAATGATAGAGCAGTCGCTTAATGGGGGAAAATAGCTGTTAAGTTCCATTTTTCTCAATTAATGAGATTTTACTTATGTTTTAGAATGCTAAAACAACAATGACTCCTCCTCCTCCTCCTCTTCCTCCCCCACCTCCTCCTCCTCTTCCTTCTTCTTCTTCCTTCTAATTCAAAATTCTTTTACCCTGTGGAGGTCAGAAACCTGCACCCAGGCAATTTGGTTGTAGGTGAGATTCTGAACCTGCATGTTCAGAAGCTGATACCAAGTGGGGTAGCTCAAGCCCCTCAGTGACTTCTCTGGGTTGTCCTGGGTGTTTCGCCTCCCAGTAACCTGATAGTACTGTATCTGTGACCCTAAACCACCGCAAAACCTTTCTTCTGTGTCAGGTTCCCTTGGGTCCCTTCAGACAGGAGGACAAAGCCAGTACAAGACATCAGGGACCTTGCTCATGCCCACGGCTCAGGTGTCAGCAGGCCAGGGGCTGGGGACACGTTAGGCTTTGCCTG